TTATTGCTAACAAGGCTAAAGTAATTTCTGCATAGAGCCCATGAAAAAACTTTAGGAGCAACATGCAAATGTCACAGTCGAAAGATAGGTTTGCACACAGCGACTAGACATATGAGTCTGATCTCAACTGGCATGCATGATTAGTACCGATGCTGCTATATTGCTACTACAATTAACAATTATTATAACCAGTAACCTATCATTTTCATGCTCTAGAAGACTGATATTGAGAGTTTCCGAATTTGGCCTGCAAGTTGTTATTAATGAGTTAATTGTTGATTTTAAACAATATTTACATCACTATTGTGGAATAATGCTACTATTGATAAAGGTAAACGTACAAAGGGAATAAATCTTTCAGGATTAGTTTAGAAAACTTACAGGCAGTCATATGACCATGTTAGAAGACTTGCTGCTTAAGTTTCAAGAAAAGATGATGTCGCCTGTTCATGGGCCAGCAGAATCTACGCCATTGGTTGTGGCTCCAATATAATCCTCCCCAAACTCGAACACATTTTCAACTTATCTACAAAGAGGAAATAATGCACTGAAATAGAAACAATATATTAATTACGGAGGATGACGTAAAATAGGAATTTCCAAGTAAAAGCAATCAAATGTAGAACACAATCACAGAAAAATGGTAAAACATCCATTATGCCGATTGTAAATAACTTTTTCTCCAGCTAACCTAATAGATGTTGGTGGAAATTATAAACAGTTCATTTGTTAATATATTCTTACTAAAAGTAATAAAAATACAAAATCATAGAAAAAAATTGAATCAACAATTGTATTCAACCAACAAGGTACTAAATATTATTCCAAGCTAACATTGCTCAAAAGACAGCACTTAAAAGACTACTGTTTAACAAAGCAATCATATGAGGAACATTAGAACATCCGATACAGTTCCCCAGTTAGAAATTAAACATAATAAACTGGTAACAAAGGAAATTAAATTTGCACATTTTGTTCAAATTTCTATCTCTAGTACGACCTGCTTTTCCAATCAAATTATCAAACTCAAAACTATGAATTCAATATCACCAAGCTCTTGGCAGTGATTCTGTTGGTTCAACATTTATGTTCTCGAAACATCCACTTGCAAATAACACTAGTATAGTCAAGACCATTATTGTGGTAAGCCCATCATCTGAAAGCAACGAGATGCAATAAGATTTTAAGGAGCATCATGCAGAATAAAAAAGCAAATCATTGTTGGCACACATTAGTGCCACATCATGGCTAGAGTGATAATATCACATGCCAATCATTGAGGGTATTAATAAGTATGTCTTAATTTCTCAACCATTCCTACCAGGTGCCAATTAAAGTCACATGACATTCTCTCCCAACAGTTATGAGATCAAATCACACTCAATAAGGATGATAGGTATCAAGAAATTGGAGGGTTGCTTTCTGTTTGTAATCCAACCATTGGACCACAAAAAAAGAAAAGAAAAGTAAAGACTCGAGAAATGTCACTAACTATATCTCTCCAAACACATTCCTCTTGCAGTCTCTGAGTTTGATAGATAACTCTCCAAAACAAGTACACAGCACCACGTAATTGAGCTGAAATAAAATCATAATCTATGATTGATCTAGATGGTCTTTCCAAAAATGGTATGAGAACTGAATACTCAACATAGGTCATCGTAGATTCAAACCTGCTCTATCATCTTACAATAATATCATGCATGCATGCAAACAAAGCTGAATTCTTCGTCAACTTTTTAATATGTATTCTTCTTAAAAATACTCCAGATCTACTATTTATCCAGAGTTAGATGATAAGAAACCTACCAATCATTAAAATGAACCATAATTATATATACCTCCCAGTTATAGGTTTCCAACGATACGGCAACAAATTAACTGAAATCCAGTCACTTAGGTATGAATGAATGATCAAAGCGAATCACGAGAAATATTCGGGCAAAACCGCTCGGAGAACCTCTCAAATACAGATAAACTCCCATAGATCTCTTATATTTCAAACATTGTTATTTAGGCTCCCCGAGTAGTTAGTTATTTAACTAAAACCCCTTCCATCTGTTTCAATCAATTCAGCGAGATAACAGCAATGTATTGCTAACAATCACATGATCTTCTAGAACAAATGTCAGCTCGTGAATAAGCAAACAGAATCAGTTAATTACAAAAAAAAAAAAAAAAACAGAGACAGTTTTGAGACTACTTCATATTAAATCATGATTTAGGGATTTCAGCACTCCTTAAATCTTTTTTTTTTTAACAAATTCACAAGATGCAAATCCAATTCTACATATTGAAATTCAAATAACACACATTCAAGTCAAATTACTAGATGGAATTAACAATTAGATTCAAATTTGTACTAACAGATCATGAACAAATTACAATACTCTTGAATCAATGATATTAACAAAATTAATGAATAAAAACGAGAGATAAATCGCTTACAATAACACGGAGAAGCAAAGTAACGAACGCACTGATCAATCAGAACAGCATCAATGGAAGCTACGAAGGTGAAAGATCCTGTTGATGGTTAACGCTAAATCCGCTTTGAGGCTGCCGCGGTAATCGCGCGCAGAATCACTGGTTTTGATTTTTTGATTTCGAAGCCGGGAACATGTAAATAATTTGGTACAAATAAATAAATTATATAACTTACCATATAACTATTAATAATTATACTTACATCCCAAATAATTTTTTCAATTACAAAACCTTACCATCTTGTATGGGCTTATACATTAAGTAGTCCATTTACTGATTTTCAAAAGGCCACAAAACCGAAATCTAGGGTCAATAAGTAGTTGCCTTCTTTAAAGAAAAACCACTTCTACATTGCCTTCTTTAAAGAAAACCATATCTAAAATACCAAAATACTTGCCATAATAGAAGTACTAAAATGAAAATCCAATGGGTGCTGAATCCAAGCATTTTTTCTTTTAGAAAATGAGGGTAAACTAATTTAAAGATATCTTAAAAACACAGAAAATAATATTTAATTCATGATATTACAGCACATTAATTTGAGTACTACTAAATTCATCAATCAAATTATTATTCCCACTAGTTTTTTAAAAAAAATTACCAATGAATTTCCATTAATGTGTTATATAATAATTATTGATAATTGATGAAGAATGTATTGATAATTATATATAAAAAAAATGATGGGAATAACAATTTGATTAATGAATTTAACAGCACCACTGTTAATTTACATGACAATTAAGAATAACCTATTATTCGTACAAGTAAGATTTTTTTGATATATAAAAATTTCTATATATGTGGACTTTCTTTAAAAGTGATATCTAGCATTGAGTGAGATAATACAAGGAGAAAAATTATACTAAAAAAATCTTTATAACACTAATAACATTTAAAGCAGTGATTTTATAGATTATTTATATGGCAAGTAAATCCCAGATATAAAATTACTTGTCACTTATGCATGAATTTGTTTTTTGGGTGTATAGTTTTCTAAAAATTAAATATTGAACATTTTCTATTTCCGCAGTATCATAATCTCCTGCTTATAAATAAACTCTCTCTCTCTCTCTCTCTCTCTCTCTCTCTCTCCCAATGCAATAAAATTATACAGGCTGGCAGTTCACTATTCGTGCCCTGCATTGAGAGAAATTCATATTTGAGCTAAAGAGGGATGAGAAGAGCTCGACATTTACGCACAGGAACCTTTTGGGTAAGAAAAATTTTAAAACAACCTTATTTCCATTGTTTTGGCTCTAATTATGAGTTAATTAGTAAATTATTCCATACATTTTGCCTTTTGCTCTTTTCCTTTTCTTTTCTTGCATTCAATATCATAAGTAATTCTTTTATAAGCGGGACCGAGGAAGACCAAGCATGAAGCACTCGCTCAAATCTCCAGATTCATGCAGTAAATTAGGCCCACGAGGGCTTGGTTCTGTTCTGTGTGTGTGATTCTTATCAGGCCCAGTCAGCTGAAATTCTAACTATGAGCCCAATTTTTTTGGAGTAAAAGAGCAGAGACAGAAACGATTGAATTTGTCTCAACGTCGAATCTGTCAACGATAATACAGAATGAGAAGAAAGAAAAGGACGAGGGTTTAATCGAACCCTTCCACATTGGGTGGAGCTCTTGTTATCTTTGAACGGCTTGCAACTGATTGCCGGCTGAAGGAGTTGAGGCAGGCCCAGTTACAACCTACCCATCTTCAAAAGCTAAAATAAAAAATAAAAATAAATAAAAAATCCCGGTATCCAACAAAAACAAAAAGTTAGAATATACCAGTACCCGCTCATGCGGTTACATTACATGGACCCAGATCTAACATAAACCTAGGGGGTATAGTACAGTGTCGTAAGATAGATAGATATGCATCAGAGACCAAATCTCTTTTACACACATAACATGATTCATACATGGATTGATAGGTACGCGATAAACTCATTTCACTTCCATATAATATCTATTTTTTTTACTTCTGTTTTTTTTCGAAGTACATTATTTTTGGATCGAATTTTATAGATCGAAATTCAAATTTTTAGGATTTTAAGCGGTTAATAATAATATATTATTTTTTTGAGTACAACAGAATCTACATAATGAAATTCATATCTCATTACATTTTAACTGAGTTATGGAAAATAAACTCATTTTTTACATTTGCTAGGTTTTTTTATAATCCCCAATTCGTCAAAAAAAAAAAATCCTTTTTTTCTTTAGTTGGTGCTATAAAAATAATGCTATGTGGTACATGGTTACATGGACATTGGGGGGGGGGGGGGGGGGGGGGGAACTACTACTGTATATTAGTAATAAACAAAGAATTGATAAAAATAAAATTAGGAGGGGAGAGCGTGAGAGAAATGCAAAGTGCGACCATTTCAAAGCGAGGTTCTCGCAAATCAGGAGCCCAATCTCTAATCTTGTCTAGAGAGACAAGAGAGCGAAAGACACGAGTATGGCGATGATGTTACAAGGGAGCATTGTCGATATCCTTCTTCTTCTCCTTATGCTGCTTCTGATCCTTCTCCTTATCCTCTTCGCCTGTAAGCCATGGCGCTACTTCTCCTCCCTTTCTTCTCCTTCTCGCACTCTCAAGGTACAACAACAACAACAATCTAATTCTATTTTTATCTCTTCGTTTGCTTAGGTTGTTTCTTTCTACAATAAATGTGGTGTCCGGTTGGATTGGTGAGAAATCTTAGGGATTTTTGTAACGGCAGCTTCGACCCTTTTTTTGTTTATTGTTAGATCATTTTTTAAAGGAATTTAGAACAAAAATAGAAACCAATGCCGAGGGTTTTAGTTTTATTGAGGTTTATTTTTTACTTGTTGTGGATTGATCTTGATTGTTTGGGTGAGAAATTAGAAGAGGTGATGTTGGTTTCATCGTACTCTTTTCAAGAATTAGGGGTTTGATTGACACTAAAACTTCTGCTTGCTTGTCAATACTCATTTGTCTTAAGATTGTACATTAGTTTGAGGAGGATTTGGTCAATTGATGGTTGAGTAATCCGTCCACTGTCCTATCAGTTAGTTGATTGTGTCTAGGGCAGCGAATATAGTAAGCATTTATTTATCATGAACATTTTATAGCTTCTTTATTTATTGTACGAGGGTTTTAAATACTGTATAAATAAATGGGATTTTAGGTTGATATCAAATCGCTGTTACTTATATATGGTATTTTATTTGCCGGGTGGAGGTGCTCTTCGTGGAAAAGAAGGATTATATTCTTCACGATCTCAAATATTTTACATAAATTTGAAGATATCTATTGGTATTGCATTTTACTTTAGCTGATGGAATGTGAATGTGCTGGGTTGAGTTTTAAATTTTTACCTTATGCAGCATCAATCTTTACATTTTGGGACATCTTTTATAAAATTGCTCGATTAGTTGATTAAACAGCTTCTATAAGGTAATAATATCTGTATTGAGTCTATATTTAGTGAGGTATTTCTTGGAAACTCCATCACTTATAATGCTTTCTAAATATCTTAGATGTAACGCATTTATCTTATCCGTGTCTGTGCTTGCTGCAAATACGAGAGTTAGGGTTTTTCTTTAAACATGGAAAAAATGATGTACTCGTAAATATCGTTATGCTGATTTCTATGCACACAGTATCAATGGACTGAGGCCTGAGGCTGGTGACATATGCATACATCTCAATAAATCTGTTTGCACCGATACTAAAATCTTGCACTTACTGCATGCATGTTATCATGCATCTTACTTTATGATTAGCTCTGCTTATGCCTCAAAACATCTCCATTTTTTAGGTTGATGACCTAGAGAGGCCCCTTGTTTTGGATGATGCAAATCCCCGCGACCAAAGCAGTGAATTGACGAGAAGTAATGATCTAGAGGGAGCATATAGTCAAAATGAAGCGTTGTTGCGCTCTCCTCGGACTCATGGACTTGTATATAAACATAGGCTGCCTTCGACATCTCCCCAGTTGAACCAAGGTATATTTTACAGTTTGATTCCTATTCCTTTATATTAATTCATACACTTATTTAATTCCTATTCTAGGACTTTAAATTTTATTCTCTACTTACCCAGGTGATAGCGTGCTTTTAGATGTAGTTTCAGATCCGATAGAGGATCTTTCAGTTGGCCAAACCCTCAGGTGCCTTTCATTGACGGAACGCTTAGCTGAAGTGCAAAATCATGTTCGACTGGAAGATCAGAGTCCTAATGTTAGATCTGGTTTGGAAAATGATTTACTTCAAGAGTTTGTGCCTCAGGTCATCGCTGATCAAGGTAATTTTTGTCTCCCTTATGGGAAAGAGGGTACTTTTTGATGTGTTCCTTTATTCGTCCAAATGTGAAAAACATGTTATAATATTTTTCTGTTAGAAGTGCAGGAAGTTATCTCTCTCTAGAAGTCATCTCTGGTCCTTCTCGTGGGCTCCGTTGCTCTATAGAGTCAATAAGTGCTTCAAGGCTTCCACTGACCCTTGGGAGGGTTTCCAGTGACTTGTTGTTGAAGGATTCAGAGGTGTCGGGGAAGCATGCAATGATCAATTGGAATGCGGATGTAACTTTTTGATAACAACTCCATCTTGATTTCAGTTTGGGGTCTGTGCTGTGCATGTGGCACACTGCTTACCATAGCCTTGTTTTTGGGTTTCAGAAAAATAAATGGGAGTTGGTAGACATGGGTAGCCTAAATGGAACACTTTTGAATTCTCAGCCGATTAGCAATCCCGATTCTGGAAGTAGACGTTGGGGTGAACCTGTTGAGCTTTCAAGTGGAGATATTATAACTCTTGGCACAACCTCAAATGTTCATGTAAGCCAACCTGTTTGTTTATCAAGTTGTATGCTAGCATTTAAGCATCTGTGATATAGTGCAGATTGGATAATTATAATTGTCCATGGATAACTGAATTATATTCTAGGATCATGAATTCATAACACTCGTTTCTTCTAGGATCATGAATTTATAACCCTCGTGTCCCTCGTGATTTCTTCAGATACCATAACTTTGCCCAAGTTGATAGGATTTAAAAATCTTGCTATTGAAAGTCCAAAATTTATCCGAGGAAGAAGGAAATGAAATTCCAAATCATACTCATGGTTTCCATTGTTGTCACTACTATCCAACATTAGATTATGCTTTAAACTCAACTATCATGGAGTTTCCAAAACAAAGCATCCATGAAGTCACACAATAACTTCAACAATGTGTTTGCATAGTCCCCACTGGTTCATTACTGTATGTATGGTAGTGGCTGCTTTCGTTTATGTTTTTCACGATTTCATTTCTGGTAATGGACGCGAGGAACTAAAAAGATATATAGCCTTTTTTGTGTCGAAAGAACAATTCTTGTTGCATATTCACTGTTTTAACCATAAAGATATTTTCTCTCTGTCAGGTTCATGTGACATCTAAATCCGAGAGCCAGACACCCTTCGGAGTGGGTATGGCATCAGATCCCATGGCTTTGCGCCGAGGAGGAAAGAAGCTTGCCATGGAAGATGTGTGCTATTATCAATGGCCCCTTCCTGGCATTCCCCAGGTCTTTTTATTTATTGATTTTGCAGATAAAGCAACATTGTAATGCCTTTTTTTGGTTGGAGAAGGGATTTGTCAGAAAAGCTAAACAATCTAAATTCCTACTTACAGTTTGGAGTATTTGGTATTTGTGATGGACATGGTGGAGTAGCTGCTGCAAAATCTGCTAGCAAGTTAGTCTTCTTATTTGAGTTTCAATGTGTTGCCTTGATATTAAACCAAGATCATTATTCTTTTATCACCTTTAACTGCACAAGCGAACTGCCTTACACATTTGCAGCACACATTATGTGTTGTTCTTGTCGGAAGGTAGCTGGTTATGATTGTCATTTGTTGTTGACTGGTTTAAGGATTATACTCTATAAGAAACCACTTTTCATTGCATCTAATATCCAGTGATTTTCTCTCTCTTTCATCCTGTATTCACAGCTCACAGATTCCAATATTTGTTATTCTTGTTTATCCTATCTCCTGCTTCTGCATTTATGTGATAAATTGGCTGGTTATGATGCCTTTTTGGTAATTTGGTAATAGCTTCTCGTTTTGTTGTTCTTCAGAATGCTTCCTGAGAAGGTTGCCAGTATTCTCTCAGATTCTCCTACGAGGGAGAGGGTTTTATCACAATGTGATGCCTCAGATGTGCTTAGAGTTGCATTTTCTCAAACTGAAGCTAATATGAACAACTATTACGAGGTTTTTCCCTGGCTTTTCTTGTTTTGTTTGTTCCTACCGATTGATTGCGATTTCCTCAAGTCTTAATTGAAAAGCTTCCCATGTTGGGATGGTTGAAGAAGGTAGAAACAAGTTACTCACATTGTGAATTAACCCCATTTGATGACTTGAGGTGTACCATGCTGCCTTCTGCCTTCATGATACAGGCTGCCCGATTTCTGGATTTTCAGACGGCCAGCTTAATTGTTCGTCAATGGCCAAGTCTGATATGTTGCTTTTGATTGTTCTTGAATAGTGATGACCACTGTGTCCATGCATAATAAAAAGTAGCTAAATAAAGTAGACTAATCTTAATTAGGCTAGTGGATGACAAGTTGGTAAGCAATGCCTTGCAATTACTATTTCATAGTACATCTTCTTTATGATTTTCATGGAAAGATTTTTCTGTATAGTTTATGTCTAGATATTCACTGTTGTCCTCTTGCTGTATCTTGGTTTATTACCTGGTGCAGGAGAGCATTTGCAGAATTCAACTACATCTTCTAACACATCCATATTTGCTTAACAATGTAACGTTACCTGGTTTTTTTATAATCATGTACATGGGCAATGTATGTTGTTTTAACTTTTAAATGAATCGGCTAGTAGTTAGAATATGACCAATTTGGTGGATTGTTGAAACGTCATCACTAGGATGGTTTTTCAAGATAGCTCTGATCCATGAAGCACCTCAGGTCCTTTGCTGTTAATTCACTTGCACACTTTTTTTTTCTTATTGGAACAAAGGGAGATTGAACAAATTATGTTACTGATTTATATAAGAAAGCACTGTCTGTTCTTTATTCTTGTATGGAAAGCATGGCTGGTTGAATTCAGAGCAATATCACACTTAAGTGGATTTAACTCTTGTTAGCCTGTTGATTTTCTAGTGTTCACTATATTGTTTCCTGATTCAAGTTAACAAAGATTAGCGATACTGTAGCTTGTTTGCTATAACTGCTGTGGAAATGATTATATTACCAACTTCTGAACCATTTTTGTGTTGCAAAAACTCAGAGATTATCATTTTGCGTATTACAATGGTCAATTTCCCTGCAGGGTTGTGCTGCAACAGTGCTTCTGGTTTGGGTTGATAGCAATGAAAATTTCTTTGCACAATGTGCAAATGTTGGAGATGCAGCTTGCGTTATAAAGTATGTTTTTATATTGTGATTTTGTAATTAGTAGACAGCTGACAAAAATCAAAACCCAAAAAAAAAAAACAAAAAAACAAAAAAAAAACTGTAGAGTGCTTCAATTATGTCATAAATCTATACGAAAATGGAATCTTAGGACTCATAATCAGTCCTTGGTGGATAAGCTATCAAAGAGTGGTCCTTGTTTATAACAGTCATCATAATCTTTAGCTGCTATGCTTATTAGGAGTACCATTTTTCCTAGAAAAGTTTCCACTCTGACACAGAGTACTCACCTTTTGAAAAGGGACTGCCCTTATAGCATATTCGCAGCAGTTAATATGAAGCTACAACAATCAGATTAAGAACGTACTAAAAGTTATGGATTTTTAACTTTAAAATGGAAAAAAAAAACCTTGTATTTTTCGCTATCATAACTGTATTTCTAATGCCATATTTTCAGTGTTGATGGGAAGCAGATTAAGATGACAGAAGATCACAGAGTAAGTAGTTACTCCGAAAGACTTCGACTTAATGAAACGGGAGAACCATTGAGAGATGGGGAAACACGCCTTTATGGTAAGCAAGTGGTTACTTTTTATGACATGTTTCATATCACTCTGTAGATAATAACTCACTCTTACTTTTCTTTATGCAGGCTTGAACCTTGCTCGGATGCTTGGTGATAAATTTCTGAAACAACAGGAACCCCGCTTTAGTTCAGAGCCTTATATAAGTGAAACTGTACATATTAATCAAGCAAGCAGTCCTTTTGCACTATTGGCAAGGTTTGGAAATAAAAAGTTTGTTGTCCATATAATTTTCTGTTAAAGGTAGATTTATTAAAAGTGTGATGAATCTGGATTCTTAAAAAATTGCAGTGATGGCTTTTGGGATGTCATTAGTCTTAAGAAGTCTGTCCAGCTTGCCACACAAGTTAGCCTTCTTCCATATTCTCATTCTAACATAATCCATATTTCGTATGATTTTGTGGAAATTTTTCTTTCCATGATATTCTAATGACATTTTGCATTTTTTTATCTATACAGGCAAAGGAGAGATATTCTGCAGATGGAGAGAATGTCGCCGAGAAGGTTGCAAATTTTTTGTTGACCGAGGCTAGAACCTTGCGAACAAAGGATAACACCTCTATAATTTTCTTGGACTTTGACAGAAAACTTAGAATATCTTGTAAAGTTGATTCTTAATATAAATTACAAGTTTTAGTGTACATTTACAGAAAAAATTTCCTCTCTTTGAGCCATAGTCTCCATCTATACACTGTTTCCCTTCAGAGGTGTGTATGCATCGAGATAATATGTATAGCAGAATTATTGGTTCTCGACTTGAAGTTGGTGCACCACCGACTGACGCGCTGGTCTCATGACTTGCTGGGAGTAAACAAACGGTGATAAAGTCTCAACCCAAATTAACTTAGGTGAACGACATGGCCCGCCTCTACTCATATCGCGCAAGGACCAATTCCGGAATTTCTGTGACTTTCTAAGGATGTTGGAAGTTGCCATAGCAAGTAGTTCTCCGAGTGCAAGGTTTTAATAGAATTTTAAAAGCCATATAACGTTACGTAATTAGGACTTGTTTTCGTGAGACTCCTTTGATGAGATGGAGCATGACTAAATACGAGTGTAACTTGAGGAGTATTGACTTTTGATGCTGCTGTTGTATAATCCACCGTGGAACTTCATACAAGCAATAGATTAACCTTGTGGAAAGTCACTCTCCTCACCAATTTTTGTTTATCATTTCCTCTTATAGAAGTACATTTTTTTTTTCAGAGAGAGGTGAGAAAATACCTCGTAGAGCTGAGCAGAACATGAACTGTGCATGTCTACTTGGTCAGTTAGAGGCAGCCCTTCCAAAGAAGAACAATGGGTAGAAGTGATTGAGATGTTCACAAAGGGCGACTTCGTTCTGCAGAAAGAGTTATTTCCCACTGTTTGGATGTGTTCGTCCAACTTGGTAGGTTAGATTCTTAACAGGAGAGAGAGATCTTTAGAAGAAAGTGAAGAAAAAAGAGTGTTAATTGATGAAAATCAATTCAGTTACTTGAAAACAAAATAATCTTTTCTTTTTTTTTTCAGGATTTATACACGTGACTTTAGTAATTAACAAAATTTGAAGTCAGTTATTCAACCAATTTGCCAGGTTGGCACAGTCAATTAAAGATCCCACGTGAAAGGTGCGTGACGTGCGCGTACTTATTAACTGCTGGAATTTTACCCATTTAGGCTCTATTTTGTTTTACGAAAAATAACTTTCAATAAGAAAATTAAAAATGTTTTCTAACGTTTGACGATTAGATAAAAAACTGTTAGAAAAAACAGATTGTGATTGTTACATCAATAAGTTTTGAAGAAACTTCAACAAGGCATATTCATAATTTCATAATATAAGATACATTTAGAAAAAATTAATAAATTTTCATAAATATTGACTCTAAGATATAAATTTAAAAAATAAAAAAATAGAATGTATATTTTTAACCATCAAACCAATTCATCAAAACTACTTTGGACAAAATCAAGTCAATATTCATATTTAGTAAAAAAAAAAAAAATTCTAAGTAATCCTAGCATTGCTATTTTGGTAACTCAATTAAGATTTTTTTTTTTTTTCAAAATTGAACTGAAAATTTAGTCTAAAAAATAATTTTATAAATTATTAGTTATCATTCGTAGATAATTATTCATTTGGTTTCAAAAGATTAACATTGAAATAATTTATAACTAATTATTGACTATAATTACCAATAAAATTTTACAACTAATTAAAATTAGTTACAAATTATTGATTCAGTTGTAAATGAATAGTGTTAAAAAAATAATGTATTTATTAATGAATTAATTAGTTTCAAATTTTTCACAAATGATTGCGAGTCTTGTAATAATGATTTTCAACCATTTAAGTATAGTTTAGGTGATGTTTGGGATAATAGTAAAAAAAATAAAATAAAGATAAATTATTGAAATATTTATTATAAAAATAATTTTAAGGTGTAAAAATAGTTTTTAAAAATATTTAATGTAGTTATAAATGGAAAAATCAAATGTTAGAAGAAATAGAGAAAAAATAATTAAATAATTAATAATAATTTTACAACCGATTAAAATTAGTCACAAATTATTGATTTAGTTGCAAATGAATAGTATTGAGAAAATAATGTATTTATTAATAAATGAATTTGTTTCAAATTTTTCGCAAAATGATTGCAATATCGTAATAATCATTAACTATAGTTTAGGATAAATTGGATAATGATAAAAAAAATAGGGATAAATTATTGAAATATTTATTATAAAAATAATTTTAAATTATAAAAATAGTTTTGAAGAATATTTAATGTATTTATAAATCGAAAAATCAAATGTTAGTAGAAATAGAGAAAAAATAATTAAATAATTGATAAGAAATAATTAAAAATTAGTTTGATATATTTTAAATAAAAAGGAGACAAAGAAAGAAATTGTTAAAAATATATTGAGAAAGAGGTGAGTAACTCGAGAGCGAAACAACTCGTCGAGAGAAAGAGAATGTTTTTCTTTTGTTAACTCGAAAAACACTTTCTCAAAAATACTCTATCATTTTTCATTAACTAAAAATCATTTTTAGTTGATTTTTTTTCTAAACGCGAAACAAATATTGAAAAATGAGAGAAAATAGAGAACAAGTTCTTAGAACTTATTTTCTCTCAAACAAACACGAGTCTCAATTACAATATATTCATCATATTATAATATTGTCTTCCTCTTAAAGATCCTAATCCTCAACGATCAAAGTCAAACTTGGGAACTTGCAACTCTAATTCCTCTAAAATTTTCCAAGTTGCATCTTGTGTTGGTATGTTAGACCATTGAATAAGACCCAACTCGCTCTATTGTCTTTTCAATTATTTTCCTACCCAACATAGCTACTTGAAATAGCTTCACATGACCGACTTCATTAATCACGGATATAGAAGTTGAAATCATGCATTATTTCCAACCTTTCTTTTTAGTATGGACACATGAAGCACTAGGTGAATGAGAGCACCCTCGAGCAATGCTAACTTGTAAGTCACGTTACCAATTTTTTGTAGAATTTTACAAGATCAAAGAAAGTAGGATTAGCTTTTAAGTTCTTCATTAATGCTAAATTGCTCTATCTATGTGGTTGGAGTTTTAAGTATATTTAATCACCCAACTCAAATTCCCCTTCATAATGACTTTTGTCAATAATGTGCTTCATCTTGTGTTGAGCCATCACCAATTGATTCCGTAAAAACTAGTCCATAACCCTCATCTCCTTTACAAAATCATCGACGGTAGCCACTACGAGTACTCTTTTGAATTATAAACTTCCTGCATGGTGATTGAAAACCATTTAAACCTTGAAAAAGACTCATCTTAATGGCCAAGTGAAAACTTAAATTATACTACCACGAGCGTCAAATGAAGCCACTAACACCTTTTTTTTTTAGGCATTCCATGCATATACATCTCAAATAAGTTTCGAATATTAATTTAACCTCCTAGTCCGGCAATTAGATCGAAGATGATAAGTGAATCTCATTAATAATCTTGTTTCCAACAACTTAAACAAGTCATTTTAGAAGAAACTTGTGAATATTTTATCTTTCTCAATGACAATGGAAGCAGGTAATCAATAGAGCTTGTATACTTATTCTAAAAATAACTTAGCCATATCTTTAGCTGAAAAGTGATGGGACATAACTATAAAGTGCGCATACTTTGTGAATCTATCAACAAGCACCAAAATAGCGTCCTTCTTTTCAAATTTTGACAATCCTTTCATAAAATTCATTGAAAAGTCCTTTCATGCCCATATCGAAATAGGCAAGAGCTAGAGTAATTCTAGATAATGAATTCTTTTTTATTTTGCCGTTATACACATATCACACTCCTTCCCAAATGTTTTGACCATACTCTTCATAGATGGTTAATAAAACATAACCCTAAGTCCGTGATATGAGTTTTGCACTCCTGTATACCCAATAATGGCTTAATTATGAACAAGTTCCACTAGTTTCTTTCTTAAAACCTAATCTTCAATAAAATTTCTATTTTTATATCTCAATACACCATCATTATAAGATAATCGAGGGAGATCATTAGCATTTAACAATTTAGAAGTAATAATCTTTTATACTTTATAATTCTTTCATATAATATTTAATTATATTATTTTACCAAGTAGGTACTACAACAATAATTGCTCCAAAAGTGCCCTTGTACAACCCATATACATATTTATAAGAAATTGGTATTCTACGAGACAATACGTTTATCGCCACATTCTATTTCTCTTTCGAATTGAATTTCATATCTTAATTCCAGTAGTTTAGTTAGTCACTTTTTTTAGATTGGAGTATGAATCTTCTACTCCAAGAGATATATAAGACCTTTATGATCCGTCTTAACAATAAACTTATCATGCTTTAAATAGTGCTTTCATTTCTCAATGGTCATTAAGATAGCCAACTACTCTTTTTCATACATAGACATTGCCAAGTTTTAAGCTTATGCTATAAAAACCAATGGCCTACCTTCTTACAATAACATAACTCCTATACTATATTCATAAACATCTATCTTTGACACAAATGGCTTACTCGAAATTAAGCAAAGCTAACATAGAAGCTTTGTATATTGCTCGTTTTCAATCTCTCAAATGCCTTATGTGCTTTTTCATTCCAACAAAAAATGTTTTTCTTCGGTAATTTTATTAATGGCTTACCGATTAAACCATACCTATAAATGAACTTCCTAAAATATCCTATCAATCCAAGAAAACCTCTCAAATCCTTCACTAACTAAGGAATTAGTTAGCTTCTAATAACATCTATTTTTTTTGGAATCGATTGCAACTATATGATATGTCCTAAGTATTCTACTTGTGATTGGCATAAAAAACACTTAGATTTTTTTATAAATTACTTGTTTATCTTCAAAAATTTTGTACACCAATGTATCATAAAAAAATGCCAACACAACTTTCCTTAAAAATGGCTCCAATACTTGATTTTATCATAGCTTGTAATTGAAAAATCATTAATTTAGACTAATAGTGTTGTTGATAGGTTTTAAAAGTTGTCTTCTCAATATATTACTCATTCATTCGACATGATGATGAACATACCTCAAATCAATCTTAGAGAAGAATTATGAGCCATGTAACCCATCCAACATGT